GCTGCCAGACCTGCTGAGCTTTTCAGCAACTTTGTTTTTGTTCTTGAATTATTGATAGCCTTATCAACCCTCTAGTGACTGAGCCACCTCCTCTGTCACCATGGCCTGCGTTGCCTCTACCTCCTTGATAGGGACAGATGCAAAAAATTAATTTAACACTTCACCCATTCCCTGCATCCATGTGTAAAACTCCTTTATAATTCCTAATTGGCATTTCTCAACCTTGTACTACCCTTTTGCTGTTGGCATGCCTGTAGAAAACTTTGGGATTTCTCTTTATTGGTCACTTTCTTGCCTCATCATCTCTCTTTGCTTCTTTAATATAGTTTTTCACCTACCCTCTGAACATTCAATATTCTTGTTAATTCTCATAAAGTTTTAAAAGAAGTGCTTATGACAGGTGTCAGGTAGAAAATACAATTAAGAGTGTCATTCTCTGTCATTATTGAAATACAATAGTGGCTATTGAATGTTAACAATACTTGAAGATATACATGTCTGTAACTCTATAACAGTGTCTATTTACTGTATTCAAATTTATTGGCATAAAGCTTGCATATTTTGGATGAATGTTTAATTTTCATTCTTCCTCATTGCCTTTAAAATTAAAATAGTAAAAGAGGATATAGATAATGCAGATAGCATTAGGAATTGGTTATGGACACAAAGCAAAGATTAGGCATAAATGGGGCACTCTCAAGTTGGCAGGCTGTGACTAGTGTAGTGCTGCATGGATCAGTGCTGGAGCTTCAACTATTTGCAGTCTATATTATTGACTTAGATAAAGAGATTGCAAGTAATGCATATGACTTATGGCCCTGAAGAAGAGTCACGTTTGACTTCAGATTTAATTTTGTTTCTGTCTTCTCAGATTCTGCCAGACCTGCTGAGTATTGCCAGTATATTTTGTTCTTCTACCAGCCTCTAGCCTCTGCAGTATTTATCTTTTGTCGGAGAGTTATGTATTGGAGTCTGCGATGATACAAAGCTAGGTGGAAATATGTTATGAAGACGACAGAGGCTACAAAGATATGGGTTGAGTGGGCAACAAAATATTTTCTTCATAGCTTAACTATTTTTAAAAAGAATAACATGATTGAATTCCAAATAATTTTCTTTAAGAGGAAGCAAAAATGGGAGTTAAGAAACAGAAGTTTGGGTTAAAATTGGGGAGGTTAAACCTGCCTGGCAAAATGATTTGCCAGCTTTCTTGTATTGCTGACAATTCTATGTAGTTTTTAAAATGGTATGTGACAGAGATGATTAGTAATATACTGTAAGGTTTGGAAATCTTACAAATATATATAAAACAATACATGGAAGTAATCTGGTTCAGAAAAATACATTAGCGATGCAGAATGGATATCTGTCAAACTGATTTCCCAACTGATTGTTAAATCTATCTTGATAACTTTTTTGCTTATATGAAGTTTGCTAATATTGTTGAGGCACATGTGATTCCATGCGCATTTGTATATCTTCAAGTTTTGATTTTTTGTTTTCAGAGAATGGAAAACACAGGTAACTAATATCTTGAATTTCCTTCCTTCCCTCTCCTGAACCATTGGTCACATTTAACTGTTCATTTCGCTAATACAGCCCATCTGACTTTTAGCTTTTACTTGATATTATCAGAATCTCCAAAACCAAAGGTATTGATCATGATTGTCTAATATCATTGTGCTAAGTTAAGAAAGACATAACATGCTGTTTCCTTTTTGGTTCATTAAAAATCCGTCTATAAATTATTTCAATGTTATATTTGCATATCACTCCTCTATAATTATCCTGAAGTGAATTTGTCTTGAATTTTTAATTAACTTAATTCTGATTGTTTTCCCCATTTCAAAAAGTCACCACAGTAACCTACTTGGGTAATCACAGGTTGAAAATCCAGAGTCTGGCACCACTGGGATCGAGACTGTGTTAGATTTTGAATTATTCCAGATTTTGAGCATCCAACGTGCACAGTGCCTGAAACTAATAAAGACACTGAATACACTTGTCTGGATGAGCACAGCTCATTTTATTTTTCTCTTTATTGCAAAGTACATTTGCTGATAATATAAAGACAGGTAAAAATATAACTTATGTGGGCAACAGAGAGGCTGCAAAGATATGGACAGGCTAATTGAATGGACAACAAGATTGCAGATGCATTTTCTTCATAGCATAAATTAAAGCAAATAGTACAAATGTATTCTAAATAATTCAAAAGAAATGAGAAAGCGAGAGTGAGGGAGGAGAGAAATTGAAACATTCAGTAACACCATAGAAAGAAGAACACTCAAGAAACTTAATATCAGGACAAATCAACCGTTTGATTGATGTACCATCCACTATCTTAAATATTCATTATAGACGCACAATGCCAGTAGTGGATACTATCCAAGATGCATTGCAGCAACCATCCCAGGCCTCGTCAACAGCATCTTCCAAACCTGCACCCTTCACCACCTAGAGGAATGAGGGCAGAGATACATGGGAACACGACCACTTGCACTGTCCCTGGGTCAAAATCCTGGACCTCCTTTCTTAACAGTACAATTGGAGTCCCTACACCAACAGTACAGAGAAAAGGACCCAGGGATGGCCAAAAAATGCTGGTCTAGCCAACGATTTCCACAGCCCTTAAATGAATGCATAATTAACTTGGATGCAACTTGGAATACAGCACAGAAAAATATAAAGTAGCCATTAATAAATACAGGAAATGTTCATATGTCAGATCTTTGAAATTTCACCCCTTTTAGGACTGCATTCAAAAGTATGAGAGTTTGTCAGTCAGACCTTCACAAATTCTACTCCTCCCCCCACCATATAACAAAAAAGAACCCTCAACCTAAAAGGAACCCTAGCACTAAACTAGCATTATATCTCAAAAGTATTCAGTCTTTGGACATTTTTGGTTTTTGAACAGCCAAAGTTTGGACATCCGACCTGTAATACTCACTCAACAACAGGAATGATGGGGCAATTGGATGCATAGGTCAGCCAGCTGATTTACAGATCTCTTGATTTTTCCATTGATCAAATTAATAACTGGGACACTGGGAGTGTTGCAACTTGACTACACTTGTCCAATCTGTCCTTCTATTGAGTGAAATGCCCAAAGGAGAGCTACCTCAAAAAAAACATACTATACATGTATAACTGTTAAATTGATTGAAAGAATCACGGATTAATTTTGGCAATACATTGAGTTTGACTATGTGTCAGTTTGGATCACTAGATAGGAATGTTTAAGAACTGCATATGGACTTTATTGTAAATGTGTAATTATTTTTCCTTCCTATTCTCAGGGAGAATCGACAAATTTATATCCAGTACGAACAGATGGAACATGGACTGCTCAGCAGATGAAACAAACATTAGAAAGCTCTCCTGTAACTGCAGAGCTTCTCAGTGACGTGCCATTCACTTTAGCCCCTCATATTCTGATGTTACAGGCCAGTTTTCATGATTTCCCAGCCACCTTACATCTACCAAAGAATATGAATGAAAATGTAGCAAATTTCTGGTATGATTTTACTCTTGAAAACTCTGTACTTTCTGATTCCTAAACATTTATTGCTGCTCGTTGCATAGAATTACCGGCCATTCCAAACATTGCAATTTAGTGTGTCAATTGATTAAGTCTTGATTTACTTTAACCAATAACTTCCTCCAACAATTGAGTTGCTCATATTTGTTAATAATTGTGAATCTCAGCCAGAAGATTGTTTGAATAACAACTAACATCTCTACAAGAAGAGTGATGCACTTAATTTAGGCAAGAGTGATTTTGAACTAAGAGTCCCAATCACTTTTATAGTTCAGCAAGCTTGGCAAAGGTACAGGAAGGACACCTATCTTCTTCTTTTAAGTGAATACACTTCTAAATAAAGACATGCAATACAAAGTGGGAAGTTATTCTGGCAATTATACTGATATCATACCTACCATGTCATGATCAAGTTTTTTGGTGCTGACCCTTGTCATTGCGTTCATTTTGTCAGAAATTTTGATGTCTGCATGGAAACATGATGTTACGAAGGGGCTTAAACATTTCAAAATAAAACTTGTCATCTGTAGATGTTCATATCAGTGTCCCGGCCTAAACCATTCTCACTTTGTCTTCTGGAATGTAATGTTATGGTGTTGTGAGATAGGAAGGGACTAAACATTAGACACTACTTGTATCTCTGGCACATGTTACTATATGCCCAGATGCTGCTGTGAAATTTCTTATTCATGACTTTAGCAACATTTCATGTGATTATTGAGTCTTTTGTATTGGTAGTTGGTAGAATCTAACTGCTTATATAATAGACCACAATAACTCCATTCTGGCATGTGGAAATATTATACAAAATGCAGCTCTATCTAAATAGACCATTATAACAATGATGATTTTGTTTACTGACAGTTTGTTCATTTTCTTTTGAGCATTGAAAAATACTATCAAACAATGGAATTTGCTTCATAACTATATCACGTGACAATGGATTAAATGTCTCAGTTGTGACTTTGGTGTCATAATAAAGTGCCCTATTTACTATATGGATTGTTTTTACCTTTTTATGTGTCACATTAATCATTTTATATGGCTCTCTAATGTGAGAAACAATAGTTTCCACGTGGAAAGTTGCAGCTACTAATATAGTCATGAACTAAACTTAAGAATGATTCTGCATTAGAAATACCCTGTCATGTGAAATTATTTTAGTTGTGCTGTGCCCTGCTATTACTCTAAAAAGCTGTTATCTTCATATTGGCTGGGATTTTGTGGTAAGAATAATTGTTAGGCTGCCAGCAGTACTTAGCCTATTAGCCACACTGTGTATAGTAGTACCTATTACTGTACTGTATATGCGCCAGAAATGTTAGCACATGGCCATTCATGTGTGAGTAAAATCTCCACGGCATTGAAAATTAACTTCTACAGGTTTATAGATCTGTACCTTCTGATTTCTATACTTAATTGAACTTGGAAAATAAACTAAAGTGGTTGTAATTACCTTTTTTATGTCTCTGTTTCTTCTCTCTCTTTCTCTCATTCCCACCTTTTTTAGTGTTCTCTTTATTTTGCTTATTGTACATGATTTGGTATTTGAATGAATTATTCAAATTTACACTTCCTGCTTTAAATTCTGAGTGCTAAAGCTTACTTCTCAAAAACAGTTATGTTGGGATCAGGTGAGATGTTAAAAGGCAATATTGTCATACCTGTGATGAGTGGAATGCACTGATTATCAACCCCGACCACTCCAGCAGTTGCACCATTAGTATAAATGTGTTGATTCAATTACAGAAATAATCATTTTTCTCCCCTTTTGTACACCTATCGGGAATAAGAGACATTCACAGGCTTCTTTAATGGACTCAAAATAATCTGTTTAAGTTGAACAAAATTTATTTTTAAGGCAAGTGACAAACACTGGTGAATACCTAAACTGTAATCCAGAAATAAAACTATATCCCCTTTTGAGCAAAGGTCAGGAAACAAAGGTGGAAAGTGATAACTTCTCAAGTCCACCAAGTCCAGCCACAGATTGACAGTACTTCCGTTCTGAGTGCAGTCTGCCTGGATTTGAATCTTTGGTAATTGGTCACAGTCCACGCTTGGGTTTTACAAGGTTAGAAATACTGGTATTTGGAAGCTCTGTCAGGCTCCTGGGAACTTCTTCTGAGAAAAGGCTTGCCACTCGGAATGTCTTCTTGACTGACTCCGTGGGTATATCAAACAGAATTCTATGTCCAGAAAGGATTGTAAGGCAGCTGTTTGAATAGAGGCTTCTTGTCTTTTTAAAAGCATGCTTTCCAGTAATTAAGGCAATAATTCCATTTAGAGTCAGAGGTCTACAGCATGAAAAAGGGCCCTTCAGCCCAACTTGCCCATGCCAGGTTTTCACAATTGAAACTTGAATGTTTAAATTTAAGAGAGATTATCTCCTTGAAAGTTTTGCTTAGCTGTTGTCTACAGTCACATGATTTTTCTGTACACAGCAGGTGGTTTACTGCACACATTAAACTGTTGACCTCAATCCTGTTTAACCCAGAAAATGTCCAAATATTCCATATCTTCCAATTCCTCACAATCTTTATATATATATAAAAATCTCCTGCGGCTCCCAATCTGCCTCCAGTCCATCTACTTTTGCGTTGAACAGCGGTGTGACAAAAGGCAATCAGCCAATCTTTGCCCCTTCCCCAGGGTGTGTCATCAAATTAAATAATTCAATGTGTCTGGCAGCTTCTGATTTTATCTGGTTTTCAGGTTTGACTATGGCCAGTTAGGTTTTTTAAGCCTTGGGAACCTAGCAGCTAATGGACAGTGAGGACAGCTTGATAGAACGTAAGTGTTACTCTTACCGGATTCTCCCATCCTCAACCTGGATCAGGAATCTGATCTCCTATTGCAATGATCAGCAACAAGGAAATGTACCTAGGAATGCTGCCTACTCCAACATAGCTGTGCGTGCCCAACTGGAAGCCAAGACTATCAAGCCGACTGATACTAGAGCAGGAATCTGTCAAACTGCTGGGTTTCCTCTCAGAAATCCTTCATTCTATCCCTAGACTCCAAGACAATAAAATATAAGGAGCAGAATTAGGCAATTCAGCCTATCCACTATTTGATTGTGGCTATGTTTCTGAACCCCATTCTCCTGCCCTCTCTGTGTAACCCTTGATCTTCTTGCTAATCAAGAACCTATCTATCTCTGTCTTAAAAACACTCAATGACTTGGCCTCCACAGTCTTCTATGGCAATGAGTTCCAGAGATGCACCATCCTCTGGCTGAAGAAATTCTTTCTCCTCTCCATTCTAAAAGGTCATCTCTTCACTCTGAGGCTGTGCCCTTGGGTACTCGTCTCTCCTACTGATGGAAAAGTCTTCTCCATGTCCATTCTATCCAGACTTCTCGTTATTCTGTTGAGTTTCAGTGAGATCCTTCTAAACTCCATCGAGTACAGACCCAGAGTCCTCAATCACTCCTCATATGACAAGCCTTTCATTCCTGGGATCATTCTTGTAAACCTCCAATGGATCCCCTCCGACTCCAGCACATCCTTCCTTTGTTATGGGGCTCCAAACAATGCTCAATTTTCCACATGCTGCCTGACCAGAGTCTTCTGCAATCTCAGCAGTACATCCCTGCTCTTGTATTCTAGCCCTCTTGAAATGATTGCTAACATGATATTTGCTTTCCTAACGGCCAACTGGACCTGAATGTTAACCTTAAGAGAATCTTGAACTAGGACTCCTACATCCCTTTGTGCTTCAGGTGTCCGAAGCTTTGCCCAGTTTAGAAAATAGTCTACCCCTCTATTCTTCTGATCAAAGTGCATACCTTAAAATTTCCACCCTTTTACTCCATCTGCCACTTCTTCGCCCACTCTCGTAGCCTGTCCAAGTCCTTCTGCAGCCTGCTTGCTTCCTCAACACTACCCATCCCCTCCACCTGTCTTTGTGTAATCTGAAAACTTAGTAACAATTACCTTGGTTCTTTCGTCCTAATTGATAATGCATAACGTGAATAATTGTGGTCCCAACACTGACTCCTGCGGAACTTCACTGGTCACCAGCTGCCGTCTTCAGGAAGACCCCGTAACCCCACTCTCTGCATGCTGCCAGTCAGCCAACCCTCTATCCATGCCAGTACCTTGCCCCTGACAACGGGGTCTTATTTAGCAGCCTGCTTTGTGGCACTTTGTGAAAGACCCTCTGGATCACATCCACTGGCTCTCCTTTGTCTAACTTACTCATTATTTCCTAAAACAAAAACTCTAAAATATTTGTCAGGCATGACCTCCCCTTGATAAAGCTGTGGCAACAAGGTGCAGGGCTGGATGAACAC